CTTCCCAATATGCAAAAGTCAGTATGTAGGTATGACATAAATTATTTCATAGTGCAAAGACTATCTATTCATAGCACACTCTGTTTGTTTCAGACATGCAGTTTTCCTTCCTTTCAGATAGCCTATTCTTTTTCATTTGTATTAAAAATAAAATCTTTGAGAACTTCAAGCAAGAGAGAAAAAATATATTTCTACTGAAACTAACAATTCTCCAAACAGGAAGGTTTCCTTTTTCCTGTTTAGACATTATGTTCAAAGAAAGGAAGTCAGGATTTTCAATGATAATAATAATTATATGGCATGTAAACATCAGTAAGTATCAAAGAAGGCTTCACTCTCTATTTAGTGGGTCCCAAATGCCACGCTGCTGTTCAGAGTATTTTTACCAGTTCATCAGTCTTTTGTAACACTGGATTTCTAAGCAGTCATTGCATTGGCTTGCTCAGCTGTGTGTAAGATTCCACAGTGAAAGAACAGCATGATCAGACTGGCATGGAGGGCAGTGATGGAGAAGAGTGCAGCAAACAGAGAATCCTCCTACAAAACAATGAGTTTGATATGGCAGATTTGGGGGGAGGGGGTGAGTCAGGATTACACACACCAGGATTACACATACAAGGCAGTGTGATCATTTCATGTTGCCACCCAAAACTTAGCACTTCAAGTCATGAAGTCTTTCGACGCCATTTCTAAAAATTGACTTATTGGCGCAATTTCAGCATTGTGATTAGGTATAGTATCAAAACAGATATCTGGTACATGTGGTGCCTTGTAACAGTGAACCTAGGAGTGCTTTATAAAGAAAAGTGCATTTTATTATCCTCTCATTAAAGACAGAGGAATTGAGGCAGAAAGAATCAAGTTACATACCTTTGGTCACGGTCAGTACAGGGAGGAGAGCTCATGTCTGACAAAGGGTAAGCTATAAGGTCTCTACTCAATTTTGTAGAAGTTTTGTAACACACATTTGTATTACCTTGGAAACGAAAGTTTTCTATTTATCTGCAGAACTAAGTAGCAGAGTAAGGCCTCCACTTTATGTGCCACTGGTTTGCCCATGTGGGGCAGAACAAGTCTCACAGGGAGGAGAAGGTAGCTGAAGAGTCATTGAGAGTTGCCAACTTGAGTGCCAGTGATTTTGGGATGATCTGAGCCTATTCAGTATAGGAGCAAGAATTCACTGGGCTTTTCACTAGGAGTGGCTGACAACTCTTCAGGCACCCACGTGGTCTGGTATTTCTGATGAGGGCTTGCAAATTAAGAACAACAGGAAAAATAGTGGAAGATATATGGCCCCATGAGGACATAGTCCTCAAGAAGATGGAGCTGTGGGAAGGGGAGCAATGGAGTAGAGAAAATAGGGAGAAGGCAAAGCAATTCTAAAAACACAAACTCTCTTTTGACAACTCTGAGTTAATAAAATTTCACTTATGATCAGGAAAAAGTCTTGGAATGAGCCACTTGGATATGTTGCTTCAAAACAGTGAGGCCTAAGAATTGAATGTGAATAAAGGAAAAAAAAAAAGGTGATACAATTACCTGTGATTTAGAGAGTACGAGAAACAAAGAAACAAATCACAACTATAGCCTCATTTTTCCAAAGATCTGATGTGCTGGAATTTACTCCCTTTAAGTCAACCAAAAGGAAAAACCAGTCCCATGTACCCAGTCTTCCCTTTGGGATGGTGAGAAATGCCAGGGTGAGTCACTTACTTTGTATAAGAGTGTTAGCAGCTCTCCTCACATAAGCATCCGACACTCCTGAAAAGAAGGCCTTGAATTTCTCACTCTTTTCCTAAGGAGAATTGCCTTCAAGCTGCAAAGTGTGAACACATTCCAACTGCCTGCCGCAAATATCTTGCAATTTTCAGTGTCAGCTTCTTTAATTTCAAACTTTGCTTTGCAACTTCTTTTTGTAACCTCCCCAAGTTCCACCCTGTCAAACATCCCTGGACCCAGGCAAGGACCATTTTGTGCTGTGAGAGAGGGCTGAGAGCAGCTGACACTTAGGACACTGCATGGCAGGAATATCTGTGTGATTAAATACAAGTTAGGAAAGATCTACAAACCATTTAGCTCAGTTATGTCCACCATACTCACTACCCAGACTTCAGAGAAAACCCAGGGATTAATCACAGCCTTTCCCCCAAAGTGTAGGCTGCATTTTTCATGCCAGAGGCAAGACCTTTTAAGAAGATGCCAGCTGAGTCTTCAGCTGTAGTGCTGCCCCTGACAGACCTCATGGCATGAGGGAAAATCCAGGCTGATGTGGAACAAAGAGAAATCCAGAATACACATCACCTTTACAATAATCCCTTGATACTCTTCAGGACCACATCCAGCAAGAGGAAAAATGTAGGCTGTCGGTTAGTACAAAGCTGGTGGTATTTCACTCAGTTCTGTCTTTACAATTCTTTATCAGGAAAAATCTGGAATGTGAGTTGATGGAGAACAGACTCAGGCTGGGACCGACAGAGCTTGGTTAGTTTAAATAATGAAGGAATTTCTTCTTTTTTGTTCCTAAACTAGAGAGAGGCTTTAAAAAAGCCCATGCAGTTTTCTGCCCTATTTTTTCCATTTTTGTTCAATTCTCCTGCCCCAGGTTCTGTATGAAGATGGAAAAAACCACTTAATGAAAGAAAAGACAGGCTAAAAAGATTTGTAGTCTGGTGTGAAAGATCTGAAAAACCCAGAGAAGCAAAACAGCTACAGGAAAGTTTTATCTGAAGTTAACAGAGGTTTTCATTGTGAAGATAGAGAAGCCGCACTACTACAGAGGGCACTGTCCATGCCAGCTCAGTGTGTATTCATACTGTAGGTGCAGTGACTAAATGAAAGACAAAGAATGATAGGAGAGGTCAGTAACCTGAAACTTTTAAAGAAGCCTGTGCAAATTACCCTCTTCAGGCCTCACTTCTTAATCTTTTTCATGAGAGGACAGAAAAAGCCCTGTATCCTAAGGCTGCTGTAATTGTAAGGATATTAAAACTGAGGGACAATTAAACGATGTGGTGATGAAGCAATGAAAATATAGAAGACAGATAAGAGCTTAGTTTTTTTCAACTTACTTAACTCCTCATAGAAGAGAAATATATGGGCTTGTCCTAAGGCCTTGGAAGTCACACTGGCACTTGTCTTCACACCCAGAAGAGCCTACACTAAGAAGAGATGTTATTTCAGGTTTTTTGTTAAAACTGGAAAATCTTTTTTATTTAGCATGACTTCTGAAAAGAAAATAATGTAGTTCACCAGAAAGTGGGAACCCACTCCCCCTGGGTGTTCTTCCTTTTGAGTATTTACTCAAAAACTGTGGGTGTTTTTGCTAACAGTGTCCTTTTCATCAGTGTTCTTCTCTGAAGAGACTCATTCATAATATTCTCATTTGGGTACACAACACATTTACCCCCTAGACACTTCAGAAATCCGCAGGTCCATTCATACCCCAGCACACACATCAGAAGGCTGTTTAAAAAGCCCCAGGAAGTTTGCTCAGTCGTGCTATTTTAGGAGACCTGGACTGGGTCTTGGAATTTTACAATATTTAGAGGATTTGGCACCGTGACTGTTTCCACATGAGGACATGTGTGCAGCCAGAACGCGCACCATACACCTCGTGAGAGAGGGATAAGCTACCTGCAAGCTAAGCAATAAAGAGGAAGGCCTGTAAAACGCTTGAGAGTAGCTGTAGTAAATAATTTGGGGAAGGCTGACCCAGTCAGCCAAGAGCCTGATCCTGAAGAGAGAGACAGGTCAGGCTGCAGGGGGCAAACCACAATGCACGGGCTGGGGAACATTTGCTGTTCCCTACCTACACCGTGCCCTGGGAGGAGGGAGGGACAGTGCATACAGAAAAGGTTAGCCTATCTGAGCATGGGTTATAACATCATTTGGTGTTAGCTGAAGGGACAGAACTAAACCATCTTGGGTTACAGTACTATAAAGCACACAGTTACAAAGCCTGGCCTTCCTCTGCACAACTCCACTAAGCCAGCGTATGTGTTACGGTCCTAAAATGGTCAGAATATAAAAGGGCTGCCCAGTCTTAGCAAGTCTGTGGGATAAGAATGATGCAGTTTTCTACAGAGTTCCAACATATTTGCTGGCAGCTCCCGAAGGCACCAGAGATGCCCCTTTTCAGTCCATCCTGCTGACCCTGTGGTGAGGAGGTGGCAGTGGAGACTCTACTAGCTTTATCCTTCTCATCCAACAGGCAACCTGGGACACCTGCTCAGACACCATTGACTGAATTCAGGGAGCAGCTCCAGGGACACTGTTATTAGTAAACAATCATTCTGCCATTCAAGTTACTCTCTATGGCTCCTTGCATGGTCCAAGGTTTAGGAAGGATCCGTGTCTCGTCTCAGGCTTGCATGTTCTCAGTATTTGCAAGCCCTTAGGAAAAAAGCCTGGCACTATAACTTAGGGACCTATGAGGAATATCTGCAGAAAAATATTTTCCAAAGCAGGTAGCTGCAGGTAACCACTATGGCTGGGCCATTCTGCTTTCTTGGTTTTCAGAGAAAGGTGGTATTTCTCATATATCTGTTCTCCCATGGGAGCAGGCCATTTGTTCCAGGAACTGGCTCAGACTTCAAATTCAAGAGGCAGAGCAATGGGTGATGAAATCCACTGAATAGACCTACATCTTCCAGAAGCACAACAGCAGCTCTTCTCAGCAAAGCCTCTGTAGATTTACCACTTCTCAGATGACCTGAGAATCCAGACTTTTTACCTTAATAACTTACTGCTCTCTGACCTCAGTTTTACCCCTTCAAAGGAAAAAGCTTAGCAGGAGACACTCTGGAGGGATACAGCTTGTACTTCACATATAGAAGTAAGTATCTTTTCTTTCAGTGACCCTTTGGTAGCCCTTGCACCCAGGTTGGAGATCTCCCCATATCCTGTTGACTGTATTTCATTGCCATGACAAAGCAGCGACAAAGCGGCACATCCTGCCTGAACCTACGAACCTTAGGCCAGCCCCTCATCTTTAGTTCCAGGACATATGCATTAACAATTCCTGATGAGCTACCACAATGTGTTGGTGCCTTTGCCACTGAAATCTGGCATTACAAAATATCAGTCTGTTCTCCTGGAATGTGTATCTGAAGCCAGAATCTTCACAAAAAGCTGTTACGCCATCGAAACACCACCCACAGCAAAACCAGCACAGATTTTAAACAGAAGCTGTTGGGTTTATTCTGACTTCCTGCAAAGACTAGAGGTGTATTGAGCCTCATTTCTGAAAGTGGCATCTGGGATCAATGCAAACCTTTGTCACAAGTGGCTCAAGGTGCAAGACTCAGCCTTGCCTCCCACCGAGAGCCAGCAGCTGCATACATTTTTGACAGACTGATAGCTGTTTACACAGCAGTAAATATCTTCATACTCCATCTATTTATACTTCCATGTCACTTCAGAGTTTTTTTATTTTAAATTTTATTTTAAATCAAAGATACCAAGAAAGCTATATAATTCTGTGTGCTACTTCACAGTTTGATAGAGAAAGCATGACCTAGAAGGGTGAGAGTCTGAGATGTGAGATGTGATTGCTTTAGCAGGAAGGTTAATTAAATAAAATTCCTCAAGATCTAATCCCTCCTGCCTAGCTCCCACTTGGCTTTTGTGTCTGCTCTGCATGTTTCAGTCTACCCACTGAGAAGTCATTGAAGGGGATAAAGGTTGCAGCCCACCTGCCTGATATCCACTGACTTTGAAGAGGATGGGAAAAACATCTTGGAATTATTTTTTCTTCAGAGCTAATACACTTACTAGAAATAAACTTAATCAGTAAGTTGGTGACTGATTAATGGGTGTTTTGGCTTTGATGAGCCATCTGAGACGAGAACCTGAACAGTATCTAGATGGTTGTAAGCTGAATGAACTGGGGAGTAGAAGTCTTACACAATTATGTTGTGGTAAAAACAGAACAAGTGACCACACGGCAGAAGAAAACAAAAGGGCTTGAAAATCAGAGAAAACTAGGGGGGAAAAAAAAAAAAAAAAAAAAAAAAAAAAAAAAAAAAAAAAAAAAAAAAAAAAAAAAAAAAAAAAAAAAAAAAAAAGCAGAGAAAAACAGATGGGTTTTTTACATTTTAAGCAATCTATGATCTGACCCAGTTTCATCAATGGAAAGATACCTAGGGAATTCCATAGTTGTTTTAGTTTTTTTAAAAAAATGCATTTTTACTACATCTTGAGTAGACAAATCCTACGGCAAGAAATATAATCTTTGCTTCCCAAAATCTTAGCCCTTACTGAGAAATTTTTCAAAACAGTATTAGATCTCAAAGGGGCGAAGCAGATGATCTCAGAGCTGGACCAGCTTCTGACTTGCAGCATCCAAAATGATCAAGGTTATTCTTCTGCAGATGTGGCCTTAAGCATTTGTAAAATTTACAGCTGTCTATGAATTCCACATCTAGAACCAAAAAATTAAAGAAAGGGACCAGCATGGTCACTCTCAAATCTCCCTTGCAAAAGAGGTGTCTCTGTCCCTTCCCAAAATATGAGTCACGGTTCCCTGATATGGGCCAGAAATCTGCCCTCTAGTTCTCAGAAAATGGTGTTTACAGCAGTATCTAATGATTAAGGAATTGCAAGGCCTCTTGGAGAAACAAAAAGGGTTGCAAGCAAATAGCATGACCCCTGGAGAGAAGACATCCTTGTGGTTGAATGTAGGGATGAGTAAACAAAGATGAAAGGATTGCTCTTGATAAGGCACTATCTCCATGTTTTCCTTGCGACAACCACACTCCTCCACAGTTGTAAAAGGAATTCATATGGCAACAGAAGCGTATCAATATGTATTTTAAGTAATTTCCAGGTTTTGATGTGTCCAGGGACTTCTTCAAAAGGTGTCTCAGCAATCAAGAACTTCTGTTTCACCAATCAGACTATCAAGCACACAGAAAAATCAACTACCCAGGAACTGCTCTCAGCAAGAGCCATGAGAAACATCTGCCCTGGTACATTATCTTCTCCATTAGCCTCCTGGAATTTGATTTGACATTGCAAAAAGGAGTGTGCAGGTACCCTTGTCAGCTCCAGAGGCACTTTAATGACCCAATTAAAAGTAATGAAACAGTCATTTATCCTAATTGGAGGAACACTAATTATATCAGAAAGTGGCAGCACTTTTAGATGGCAGAGAGCAAATGCTATCTAATCAAAGTTAATGAATAGGTAAAGTATCCCGACAGAGCATCTGTGCATTACTCACTCATTCCTGCAAACAGAAAGATTAGCCTGTAGGGAGCTGATCTGCAAACAGAGGTTTTAAAATGGAAGGTTAATTATGGTGGTTGAATACACGTTCTTAATCTAAAAGCAAGTTCACGCCATGAGCCTCAAGGGACGTTTTCCCTTTGAAAGAAATGAAAGTGGCTTGAACATGGGGGAACATCCACTGTGGAAGGCCTGTGGTGATTATCCTGAACATGTGAGGAACCCCCAGTCTTCATTCACGGAATAGAAACAGGAGGTTCAAGACAGCCTTTGAGTAAAGACACCACTGCTGCTAAGCCACAGGGGTAAATCTTAGGCTGAAGTGTCTTTGCTTTCTTTCTAATTGGCTCCCACCAAGCAGAAGAGAGAGGACTCTGGCACTGCGGCTGGGAGGGAAAGGTCAATTCCAGCATCTTTGCGGCCAGTCTGGAGCACAGCAGAAATAAAGAGCAGGGCCCTGGACTGGCACAAAGCACCTCACAAATCCTTCAGCCTCGGTCCTTAAGGACAACAATAAGGCCACTTAAGTAACCAGGTTCTGAATGAAACCTCATTTGGTCTGCATTGGCTAGGAGAAGGGTGGTTGGGATGCGAGGGATGGGAATGGGCATGAAACAAGGAACAGTGAAAAGGTCCTGGAGAGTGCATTGGAGTTTAGCACTCCTGGAAGAGGAGATTATTATTACAAGGGGAACGCAGGGATCTTGCCTTCAGCAATAACCTAGATATACCAGTGCATTTGTATGAAAGTGAGCTGGGCTTTCTATGAGCTGTTCACTGACAGGATCCCAACAGCTATGAGGGAAAAAAAAAATAAAGAAAAAAAGCTTTGACACCTTTTAAAAAAACCTCTAATGAGGAATAGCAGTGAATTGACAAAGTTGAAACCTCTGTCAGTGAAAGAAAAAGTCATCAAAATTTGCTCCTGTGAGCAAGGTACAATGTTAAAGTCAGAAAACATTTACCCTCAAGCCACATTAGTCAGAGCCTTAAAATATTAGCAGAACTGGCTGCATGGAAGCCATGTGAACAGCACGGGTTTTATATACTGAAGATGCCAAGTAAACACACAATTCTTGACCAAACAAGTACTACACTGACAGCTCAGATGAAAAAAAAAAAGAAGCCATGAGGGATGTAATAAAACTCCAAGGAAAATGTGCTTCCAGCCAAAAAACCAAAACAACCCTCAACAATTCAGGATAAAAAGACATTCACAGCCTCTGAATGCTTACTGAGATTAGACATAAAAGCCTCTTCAATTTATCTTGAGTTGTGCTTTCCTCTTAATGTCAAAGGGTACCCTGCTGCATAGGAAGATGTTTATACCCTCTCATGGGAAGCCAGAGGCTTCAGATAAGGGAGTGTCTTTGGAAAAAGAGAGCTTTAAAGGCTTGGGAAGATAGCCTTTATTATCAGCCAACCCTCTATTAGGTTGGGGAGATTCCTGTTTGATTTGGCTGCAGTCTCTAGCCTCAAGTTCCTGCCCAAGCTTTTAAAATAGAACAAGATCTCCCTGCAGCTGAAAAAGGGTGAAGGGTGGAAGATGTAAATAGCAATTAAAGCAAAAATCTTGCTTTTAAAAAACCCTCCCCTTACAGATACTCTTGCTCTTCCCCAGTGGTCAACACTGGCAGGCTGACAAAGCCAAACAGGCTACACAAACCAGTTCAAATTAAATGTGACTTGCCCATCTCTTTCAAACTGCAGATGATAACACAACCCTGAAATCACCCTTCTTTGCCCCCACGATTAGAGGCAATTCAACAAAGGATAGATTTCTGGACAGGGGTTCATGAGTGCTGGAGCTGTCTTGGCTTCACCACCAGCCTACTTGGTAATTACCTTGGGACATCTCTGCTGCTTTACCTTTCTGAAGTATTTTTGAGATCTTTTGAGACCTATAGATAAGAAGTTCTGGGTTAAGTATTACTACATATTCTTACTATTGGTGGGTTGTGTTCCATACAGTTTGGTAAGACTACACAGAAAAATAAAACAGTTAAGCAGACCAAACTTGGTTTGGGGAATAAGAACTACCCCATATTCCTTCCTTCCCCTCGCAGAGCAGCCCTGTCAGGCTCACGCTTTTCTGGAACTGTGTGTGCTCAGCTCCCATTTACTGTTCATGTTTTGTGACCTTGCCTCACCCGTGTCTCAGTTTTTCACTGTGCTGTTATAAATCATGACTTTCTTGTCTCTCAGCACTTCAATCAATACATAGAATGTCAGATCAGATAACTGGTACTCTCAATACACACTAATGTAATTTCATAATGTGATTTCACTTTTCAGAGAAAGAATCAGAAAAGCTATTATTGGAACAGGAAGAACCAGCTAATCGATCAAGGACACTTTAAAGGCAAAATTCTTTGAGTTTAGTATTTGGCTTTGGATTGTACACAGGTGGCTTCTGGGACTTCCACTCCATTTACACATGCTACAAATCAAAACTATTCCAAAACCTAAACACTTAACATACAAAGTATGGACAAAGTATCCACTGTGATACTGAAGTATCATAGGTTGCTAAAGTGCCATTACCTTGGGAGATCAGTTTGGTCATGGAAGTTTTTCAGCACCTATGATTTCTTTTTCTATAACATTAGTGTCACATAGAAGTTGTCATGCTGCAACTCATTGTTTTCTGTCTCACTTCCAAGCAATATCTGACATATGGGATGAATCTGAGCTAACATCTCCAAACATGACAACGCCATACAGAGATCTTGAAGAGCTGCAAAGTGCGAGGTGTGAAATGGAATCAGCTACAGATTTTTGGAGAATAATTAAAGAATTCACATACGGGAAAAAAAAATCCAAAACTCATGCTGTTGTTTTGAATCTGTGCTCCAACAGAAGACAAATCCAAGGTGCAGATA